ACTATAGCCAGAGTGTTCTTAGTTTATTGGATTTAGATTAATGATCGTAAAGTTCACTTTATTCAATAACAATTTTTACTGAATAAACATCAATAATAACTTTATTGAAAATAGAATATATCTTTGTTTACAAACTATGAGTTTTAGGACATAAAACCCAACATGGTGTAGTATGTAAAATGTTATAAGAAAGAGAGGACCAATTCATCTTAGGATCATGTATTCATGATACGTAGATGTACGACATAGACACTAGTAAAGAGTTAACCAATTCATCTTAGGATCATGTATAAAACTGTGATTGATAAATACGATTCCGGGAGCCAAGTGATGAGATATGATGTAACACCCCAAAAAATAAAGGAAATTAGCTCCAATAAGAACAAGCCGCCCATGTAAGATCCAAAGGATTCAAGGAAAGAAATTAAGAGGATCAAACAAGGATAGGAGTCTTAAGCAAGTCATTTCTATAGGGTTAGAAGTAATTTGAAGAATTTAAGGCCTGTGACAAAGATTGGAAAGGAAAAAGTAGGTGAAAAGGGCAAAAAGGTCATTTTCTCAATTACCAAGGATCTTTCTCGATTTTTAATTCCTTATCTAGAAGGAATTTAAAGATGGTCGAGAAGGAAAAAATGACCAGCAAGATGAATGGATGAAGGATTTTTAGAAAATTATGGATTTTTTTGAGAAAAATAATAATAAAATATTCAGAATGTGACAAACTACCAAAATACCCCTAAAGTTCCACTTAATTACAAAACTGTAATGAAAGAAAATCTGCAACTAGATTTGGTTCCATAACCATCTGGCAGAAGAAAATCAATTGTATATTCACATCCAATTGTTGGATTGAGCTGCTATTTGGATATCTTTAACAAGACTCAAGGTTCTGTAGATCTAACAGTTAAAGTTGAAAACCAATGTCGATAGCACCTTCGTCGTTTTAGATATTTTTTACTTAATTTTAGATAAATAAAAAATGAGAAATTCACCACAATTCTAGAACAATCAATGACCATGCAAGCTTGATTTATAAATACGAAGTTATGGGCAATGTTTCAAGACAAGAATCGAGTGATGATTCCTAAAATTTGAGTTTGAAGCTTTTAGATTGTGGATTTTTCTTCTTCAGATTTCTTCTAGATTCGAGGGTTGTGGTTAATCGTTTTCCATCCTAACAACTCCAACACATGCCATATGGGATTTTCAACAAGTTTCGTGAAGGAATCGGGCAATGAAAAGCTCTAGAATCGGTTGTCTCGAAAAAAGGCGAGAAGCATATTTTCCGGTGAACTTTAGAAGGTTTTAACTCAAGCCATAGACCAAGACAAGGTATGAAATTGACCCCTACTTCTTCCTTGAAACTTCATCTAAACGTTTCATGAAGAAATTTAGCCCATTAGAAGTGTATATAGAGTTGTACAAAGGCAAAACCAGAGGAGTATGATAAGGAAAAATCGTGATTTTTCCAGCAACTAATGAAGAAGATGAAGTCCAAAGTCAAAGGTCAAACTTTGACCAATAAAAGTCAAAGGTAGCCATATGTTGACCATTCTATAGTTTTTAATCAATTTGGACCATTTTCACACCGGTTCTCATGAACTTCTTTATGGTTATTGAAACTAGGTTAAAAGATGAATCTAGTAAAATAATTTGGAATAATTCGGAAACCGAAAGCTCAAGAACGTAAGTCCCAAACACAGATGACGAGGTAAGTAGCCACCTTGGACTTTTCTTAAAAAATACTTGTTGGAATCTCTTGGATATCCACATGAACCCTAAACCATGTATGGATTAAGGATACATAAAAGATAAACTCAAAGAACCATGAGTTAAAGCCCTGAACCGATTAAATTGCTCGAAATTTAAGTAACATTAAAATAACAAACTAGATAAACTTCGCTGCCTATGAAATTTTAATGTTGAGCATATTATAGCATGTGGAGGTTATATATGAAATTTGGTGGTCATTGGATAAGGATAGGTAGGTAAACCATGAAATGGTGCAAAATGACCATATTGCCCCCAAGGATGTCTACCTACGGTTCATGACCTAGAGGACCTCCAAATGCTATTAAATTCCGTGGTACACCTTATCATGTGATGTCTGATGATGTGGAGAAGTTTCAAAGCCATTGGAACACGTTAAATAGCAAAACCAAGAATTAGGGGTAAAATAACCAAAATGACCAAAATGCCCCTAAGACTACTTATTAAAATTCAAGGTCTATACGTCCAACAAATGACTTGCTACTTCTTATAAGGCCTATTCATAAGGACAACAAGGTATGTTCAAGAGTTCAAGTTGATTAGAGTAAGCTTGGAACCCAAAGCAAGTTAGGACCAAAGAAACACCTCAAGACTCAAGACCCTTCTAGAACCCTCTAAGGAATTCATTATGAATCTATGACCTTCTAGAACAATTCATGCTTGTTATTACAATGGATTCATATGTTTTTGAAGGTATGTTATAACTTATGCCTCAAGGAATTATGAACCATAGAAACTTACAAGAATGAGAATCAAGAACAATATCGTACAAGCTCTACAACTACCAAAACAAAGATAAGGGACCAAGGTCCTAAAATTCAGAAACTCAAGAAAAATGTCGGATTGAATTAGAAGGATTTTGACTTACGGTAAAGGTATGTAGAGCCTTAGGCTTGACCTAGAGTAGAGGCAAGTTAGTTAGAGTTGTTACATGCCTGATTGAACAAAGTTTAGTTTCTATATAAGTCATGTTCGGTTAGTGACCAACCTTGTCTAAAGTCTAATGAAGCCATAAAGTTAGGTAAAAAAAAGGTTTTTCATGATGTGTCTAAATCGTGACATTGTATGGTTGAAAATGTACGACTGTGATAGTATTCGAAAATGCTAACACAATGTACAGAGAGGTCCATCAAATCAAGTTTGCGACCAATTGTTATTAGAAGACAGTCGCTGTGTAATAGTCCCATTTACTTAAGTTTCCAACTTTGAGAGAAATAAATGGAACATGTTGAGTTTATATAAGGACATGATAAAACAAATATATGATATAAAAGGCACTTTACATTATGTTATAAATGAAAAGGTAATAATATATACATTTCGGGAAGTGGTTTGGTTTAAGGTAAAATAACAATTTAAAGTTTTATTATTTTTTAAAACAAATTGAGAACGTTGAGTTTCCAAAATTTTGAATTCACTTTGGATTAGAAAGAACAATAAACGGAGTTTTCAAATAGTTGCGTAATTTAATAAAACAAAATAAGAAATATTTCAAATGAACCTTATTTAGTTGATCTAGATCTCTTGGTAGTGGTTTGGTTTAAGGTTTTGTTTATGATGTTTATTAATCAAATAATAACTTTTGGTGTAGTATGGAAAATGTTATAAGATAGAGAGGGGTATATATTCTTGGTAATAATTTTAAGATATACTATATTTTCTGTAATCTTTCTAACGGTACGTACTAGAAGTCATTAATACATTAATTTAATCGTCTTGTCAAATTTAGGCTTCACCACTTTGACTTTTTCAACTTATGCATGCTTTTTTTTGATGGACTCCTCCATTGTCTTGTCTCCTTACTTAAGCTTAAGGAGGTCTCCTAATTCTCGAAAAATACCTCCTTAAATAGGGATTGAAAAATTGTCTCCTCAATTATGCTTATCGTTCTTGAGGTAGTTTTTCACTAAAAGTGTCTTACCCCATAAAATCAAGTGGCACATTGGACCTTATATGCTCTAGCCAGATCATGTAAGTGGAAAGCAATCTATATGGCTTCTAATCATGCCTTAATGGCTACTGAATCCCCATTTCTCCATCAAATGTTAGTAGATCGAATTTTAAGAAATAAAACTCTTCAATGGTCCCTTGGGACTCTATGGGGTCTGTGCAGCATAGCTAGCCGAGATAGCCTGTCGTATCTAGTTGGTCTATGTCTCTACTGTGGTACAATAAATGATTGTAAGGCCCCAATAGTGAAAGTAATAGTTCGTTGTACTTTAGGTGCAGCCTGACTAAGAATGGGTCTTTGTTGGGTCTCGGTTTGTGTGTTTTAAGCATGGGGTAATATTGCCTCGAGTGCACTCTCTGTGGAGTTTTCGGAGGCCAACCTTTTGCCTCTGTGCCTCACATTTTCAATAGTTGGTTCTTTTTATTTAGGTGGCGTGATCTACCATGAGAGAAGATCTAGGGTTACAATTTATTCTTAGGCACTAAGTGCGTCATAGTAAGTCTATCTTAAATAAGTAACCCTAATCATGCAACCATAATTCATAGAATTTAGGCATACTTAATCTTTACTTGGCATGGTTACTAGTTTCGAGTTGGGTCATAGAGAATTAACAACTCTCTATCCAAGTGTGCAAGATCTAAAACCTAGAAGAAAAATCCAAAATAGTTAGTATATTTCATTTACTTTGGTGTATTTTCTTTATTTTTTTCTTGCTCTCAACCCTTCTAGTTATTGTGTACAACACAAACATTTGAATAAGATAACATACACTAGTTTAGGAAGCTAGTTAGTAATTTTTCCACTATAAAAAGTCATTAGATGTATGTTCTTTTCAATACAACAAGAACAAAGAGAATTGAAAACCAGAGTGCTTAAGCTTTCTTTGCTTTAAAAGATCTCTCCCTTCAAGGTGTTCCTTTGCTTCTTTTACTTGTTTCGACATATTCCGATCGAGGTCACATCCAACAATAATAAAGTCATACAAACTTGTGCAGAACTAATGACCAAAATTCCCCTTATGAAATCTGACATCAGTTTTTCTTCTACCAACGAGATCAATTATAATAACATACCTCAATTCGTCTGAACATCATAGACAAATTCAAAATGGTATTTTCATTCTCATCATAGACAACAGTTGCATGATATCAAATTGTTGAGTTGCATCCATTGATTCTCTAACTTACTTCCAATGGGGTTTTCCCATCGAATTTACAAGCCAAAATTAAAAAACATTTTGTTTTATTTATATGATTTTGTGGATTATATACTTTTAGATAATCGACCACTGTACTCGACGTTGAAACGTTTGATTCATGACACAAGAAGGATCCTCGACGACTGTACATCGATCTAAGGTACATTTCATATCCTTCTAGTGTGCGTCGTCGTCGGTAATGAAGTCAAAAAGTTAGATATGATAAAACGCTTATAGTTCTATGATTGTAGGCGTTTTCAATTCACAAGACCTCGGGAAAAGGAAGAAAAGAGGCTGATAGAGAAGTAGAGGAAGAAAAAACAAAAATCGACATAGAAAACGACGAACAGAGTAGAGAAAAGGTCGCTGCAAAATCTTGTTGCGAGTCAGGTGAAGAAGAAAGGATCTGACAAATCCGCATCTGAGTCAGATTCCACCCATGACCCGTCTTGCCAGCAACCAGCCTAGACGACGCAGCCCGCACCTGCAGTGGCTCACGTCTGCAATCCACGACCCATAACTCGCTATGCCTACAACCCATTAAACTGAAGCCAAATCCAAGCCTCGGCCCAGTCCATCTGTAGCAGTCCGCGCTTGTAGCAATTCGAGAACCCGAGGCCCAAATTGCAGCCAACCTGTAACCCATGATCGCAGTCCAGCCTACAACTCGTGACTGATGCCTCGACCTACGCCTCGATCGAAGTCACCTGCACATGTGTTGCCCTCGTATTGGGCCATGTAGCACGCTTGCAGTAAATGACTCCTTCGACTTGGTCAGCTTAGACGGCTCAGCTTGGCTGTCCGCAACCCTTTAGGCTTATTCAGCTCAAATACTCAAATTTCAAACTAATTTCTACCATTTTGACCCTCCCGAACCTGTTTTCGACCTCAAGTAAGCTAATCGATGTCGTTTTAATGTCATATTTCACAAATGTCAATTAGAATTATTATTAATTGTAAAATACTAACGAAAGGTGACGAATGATCGAATAGGAAATGATTCCCGATAATACTTGGAGCAGCTTTCGAGAAACGAGAGCCAACGATAATAATTTAGGGAGAACGCCGGCTATGGCCAACAAAGTAAGTGGCCTTACTATAAGATAGGCTAGAGACTTGTTTGCTATATGACGTATGTTGTATGAGATATGATGTATGATGACGTGCATGAGATATTCGATGATGTTTGATGACATGCTATGATGATTATGATGTATTTGATGGCATTATGATGACGATATATGTTGATTATGATGCATGATATTGTTACCATAATATGATGATGTTTTCTATGTTAAGTAAGATGTATGTTATGAATGCCATTTTGCACCATGTTGAGGATTCGGCCTAGGACACAACCCTAGAAAATGTGTAACGATGTTAAAGATGAGTACTTAACGCGCAAGTATTACTAATAGTAATATAGAGATGAAACTAGGGTTGTGTTCAGAAGACTTTTTAAGGACAAGAAATAGAGGGACTCATGCATTTCTGTATGTACATAAGCATTGGGATTCTTCCCCTTTTATGATGATGAGTAAGGACCAGCATGTTATGATAATGACGGTGATGATGTCGAGTATGAAACTCAAGGGTTTACTGAACTTTAGACATTGCTACGAACAGCTAACTAGATGATTATGGGTCCAGGGGGTGTGAGCCGCCTGGAGATTAACAATCGCAAGTGTGGGTCGTGTGTAAGGAAGTACTATTCATCCAAGTTAGTCCGAACTGGAGGCCACCCCTAGGATGAGATAGTGACAGGTCCCTCGAGCATTGTTCCATGTATTTGCATTTCTTCATGACCCCTATAGATGGTACACTTACTAAGTAATCTTCGAAATACTCAGGTCGTGTGCTAAATCATTTTACAAGTAAAGTCAAGGCACCCACGTACGGTTGACGGTGGCATCACAAAGTAAAGACAATGCAATGTGCAGAAGATAGAAACATATTTAAATTCAAGGGGCGTCTTGCCTTTATGTAAAAAATGCAGTAGCACGAGGCTTGAGCATTTTAAGAATACTCAGTAAGCGACCCCCTATCGGGGTTCTAATGCAAGAATTTGCGAATGCAATCACGGCATCTATCATAACTGTCTATTTTCCTATAGTACTATTCTAACGGGCAGCTTGGATGTGTGCCATATACTTTACACATGGCCCATACGTGCGAGTATGGACCCACCAGTCGGTTCGCACACCCTTGACCCTTTTCCTTGTCGGGTGAGCATGCTCTGGTAGCTCTCTATGCCGGATACCCGTTAGAAGTAGTAGTCGTTACGACAGTATTATGTAAAATGTAATGATAGTTCTCCTGGCTAGTGGTGTACGTGCTCGTACCATCGTGAAGGAATACGGGTATCCCTAATATTTTTCCATTTTCAACATTATTATATATAACCCGTGCTATCATTTTATTCATATCATACCATTTCTCATATCAGTTATCATATCGTCTATGTTTATACCGGAGTTATATTTCATGTTATTTATCGTTTTTCATGTCATTCATATCATTCTATACATGCAATTCACAAGACATAAAGTAACATTTTCATGCTTTCAACATAACGTTTCATAACGCATAAACTAAATCTTATTACGCATAAAAACTTACTCATAATGATTTAAACTAACTATGTCTAGTTAGACATAAATAATTTAAACTAAATTCCAAAATTTTAACATAAGCCTAATTATGCATAAAAACTTAATTCTAATAATTTAAACGAAGTCTAATTATTCATAAAAACTTACCCCCAATAATTTAAACTAAGCCCAATTATGCATAGAAAATTACTCCTAATAATTTAAATTAGGAGGAAAGAGTCCGAGCGAATCAGCCAAAATTTTGGCCTTCTGCTGTCAGGAAGTGTACTCTCTGACTGGCTCGAACCGTTCGTTTAGGATGATAAAATGAAGTGGGGGACCTCCCTTTTATAGTGGAGGCCAACCCGCCACCTCTTAGCTTTAGCAATGCGGCACAAAGTTTCCCTTCTCTTATTTATTTTTTATTTTTTATTTTTATTTTTTGTTCATACATCATACATGTCAAGAAGAAACTTTGGTCCTCGAAAGTGTCTTAATATTGGAATTACTTGGGTAATTCTCCTTGATCTCTTCCCTCTGTTTCCACGTAGTTTCTTTCCTTTCATAGTCTTGTAAAGATCATTTTCCTTGTACATGTTTTATTCTTTCTTTATGAGCATAACAAATAATCTTTAGTGATATTTTTTACTAAAAAAATGTTGTGCGAGTTGGTTGGTTCATATTTGAAACTTGCAATTGACCATCATTTTTTTTTTTAGGAAAATTGACATGAGTTCATTGCATATATAGGTTTTATGATCTTAACCTTCCAATTTCAAATTATTATACATATTTTCTTTTCGTCCTAATTTGTTACCCTTTCAATGTTAAAACCTGAAATATTCCATAATCCTGAAAGGGTTTTGAGTAGAGTGATACCAGAGTAAAAGAGAGTACATTAATGAACCAAGATTATATATGATAAAGTAATCCAGAATATATGAGAATGTTTGCTTAATCCACCACTCCTAAATGGTGTGAAAGTTATCTACTTATAATCAAATAAATTAAAAGGATATGAAAAGAGTAATAAATGAAAATAACAATAAATGGAAATATTCGGTGGGAAGAAATCAATTATTTATTATAAAATATCAAATATGATATATATGGTAAACTATAATTTAGTACTAAATATCTTTAACACCCCCTGGCAAGCAGAGCGTCAGATTTGAACGAACGTGAAGCTTGTATCAGAAAAATTTAAAGAGAGGTCGAGAAACATTTTTCGTGAAGATGTCAACAACCTGGTTCGGAGGTGGTGTAGAGAAACACTTTCTTGGCCATCAAAAATTGTAGAGGGATCGTCGCTTAGCAACAATGCTACCTTGGCTTCGGCAAGAATATGTCTAACCCATGAAGAGGGATCGTCTCTCAACGACGATGCTGCTTGGGCTCCGATGAGAATATGTATAACCCAAGAAGTAGAAGGGGGGAACCTAATATGAAAGGGACAAAGACAATGTTGAAGCCGGAAGAGTCACCACAGTGGGTGAATGAGCCAATTTTGGCAAGAAGGGTGGCAACACTTGGTTGATGAAGAGGCCAGTGCAGGGCCCAGATTTCGAAGGTAAATCTCGGCAGAAGGTCGATGGACTTATCGAGATTCCGTATATTTCTAAAGAGAATGCTAATGAAGATCTTGAGATTAGAGTTTCTGTGAAGGATGAAGGGTTGATTGGAAAGAAAATGAGAAAGGCTATGTTGGCTAAGGGGAAACCCATTGTGTTGGAGAAGGTGAGGTTGTATGTACATAGTATGGCGAAGGGCGATTTGTTGGTCAAAAGGGTGGAGCTGAAGAGTAACCAATCGGCCCCACCTGTGCCAGCCATGTAGACTACTCCTGCGGCGTCAAAGCCAGCAGTGGTGGTGGGGAAGAGCAATAGAAGATTCAATAGCCATTGAAAAGAATGGATCTGGGTGATAAACCGAAAGAGCTCTGATACCATGAGAATGTTTGTTTAATCCACCGCACCTAAATGGTGTGAGAGTTATCTATTTATAATGAAATAAATTAAAAGGATATGTAAAGAGTAATAAATGAAAAGAACAATAAATGGAAAGATGCCTCTAGTAAGAAAACAAATATTTAGATATTTGTCTTATAATAAAATATAAAATATGATAAATATGGTAAACTATAGTTTAGTACTAAATATCCTTAACAGTATAGATGACTAAGAAATGCTTAAAAAGAATTGAAACTTACTATCTATATCAACCCGATGCACTTTCCTTTTTGTTGGCTTAATCATATGAACTTCAAGATTAAATGTGTTTTTCTTGGAGCAATTTTATGTTCGAAGACCTCTTGAGAATTTTCGTAGCAAACATGTGAGTGAGGAAAAGACATGTTGGAAGTACTCATGTTTGTCTGTGGAGATAGTTTTCACTCTTAGAAGTGAAAAGTAAATAATTTTACAATATTGTTAGGGAAATATTAGAGCCATTAACGGCCAAATCAAGAGTTCGAAAGCTTGCACGTGAGTCGATACAAGTAGAAATTTGAAACCTAACCAAATTATCAACATCTAAAGAACTATATATTTTCAAAAGATTACTCTTAATCTTATTAGACTTATTTATACAGCATCTTAAGTCAAACCCTACAACTCTCCGTGGAATTATTACATGTGAAAGCAAGCAAACATAAAGAAAAAAAAAAAAAAAAGCATGTTTTGTGGGATCAAAATGAGGGAGATTTTACTTCATTTTTTTCAAGGGTGTATTAATTCAAACTTCCCCGAATGAAGATTTTTTAAGTAAAATCCATCATCAAATGCTACCCAAATGCAGTTTTTAACGTTGCATCGTTCAGAAAGCCAATGCGAGTTCTTTGGCTAAAATACCTCAAACGAAACATGTCCATTCAAATTGTTAAAATTGCACCAATACAAAGTCGTATGCCAAAAGTTCATTTCGAATCTCCAGTGGAATTGGGCTTGCTTTTTCAAAATGCGTTCGTTCAAATCGTCGTCTTTTGACTTGCAATGAGCCTTTAAAACTGAGTTTGTTTGATAATTGTAAATAGTAACTTGCCATTTGCCTTCTGGTAAATGTCAACTTTCCACTACAGCTTGTCCGTTGGATTCTGCAAAACATGTATGAATAATAATGCTTGATTCCAAAGCAAACAATAAGACAATAATAATGCTTGATTCCAAAGCAAACAACGTTAAACAATAAATTACTTTAAGCTGGTTAGAGTCTTCATTTTTTTTTAAAATACTCAAACTTGTTTTTGTTGATGTTTAATCATTTGGATTTCGGTTCATTATATAGCAAATAAAATTAAAAATAAAAAAATACTTGTTTTGAACAAGGTGTTAATGGGGTTTGAGAAGCTGATTTAAGGTTGATATCCACTCCCATATTTAATTCCTATGGTTGAATATCCATATTTGTTGCATGGTTATAAATATCAATTCCTTTTGATTTACTACTTTTGTGGAGATGGAAAAACAAAGTTGTGTTAAACACAAACTAGACCATTGCATTTTCTATATTTTCTCCTTAATTGGAAGAGTTATAAATGGTTCTTTTAAGGATGGTTATCAAATTTTTATTCACTTTAAACTAGAAGAAAAATAGACATGATTAATAAGAATGAGAGAATCACAACAAAATCAAAATTTAAAAGGTGTGGTCCAATGTTCGAACATCCAAATTCATCGTTAGTCGATATTGTCCGCTTTTTCCACTTTGACACGTTATGTATCATCGTCTACTTCACGGTTTTAAAACGCGTCTTTAAGGAGAGATTTTCACTCTAAATTTTTCTATTTAACCTAAGACGGTTACTACAGATTTTTAACCTGACATTTAATGCGAAATTACTTTAATGAACCTTTATTATAAATTCCACATTAACTTTCGGCCTCATTTATTACCTCAAGAATAAACAAATACAAAGAAAGAATGAAAAACATTATTGAATTAAATGCCCTATACGAACCAATGACCTAATAATTATAAATACAACTGAATCTATACTAACCTATACTTCATTAAATGCAAATACAACTCAACCTATAGTTTATTAAATGCAAATACAACTCAGCTCAGCCCATACGTCACTATACTATTGTCAAATGCAAATACAACTCAACCTATACTAATCTATACTATTCGAAAATGCTAACACAATGTAGAGGGAGGTCCATCAAATCAAGATCACAACCAATTGTTATTAGAAGACAGTCACGTTGTAGTAGTCACATTTATTTAAGTTTTAAACTTTGAGAGAACTTAATGGTAAACGTTGGGTTTATGTAAGGAAATGATAATACAAATATATGATATAAAAGGTACTTTACATTGTCGTAAATGATAAGGTAATAATATATACATTTTCATTGAGAAATGACATATTAGAGAAGGGAAATATGGACTTACTACAATAAGG